CAGAGAGGTCTATGTTCAGTGATAGCAAGAAAGGGTGATCAGGCATTGGAACAGGCTGCCCAGGGCAGTGGTGGAGTCCCCATCCCTGGAAGTGTGTGACAGCTGGGGACATGGGCTAGTGATGAACACAGCACTGCTGGGTTTACAGTTGGACTTGATCTCAGAGGTCCTTTCTAGCCTTAGTCATGCCATGATTCTATGAATATCCCTTTCCTCATAATCAGAAGGGACAAAAACCCACGTGTCACGAGCCTGCCTGCCTGAGGCACTGTGCATGAGTGGTGATAATGTTAAAAATAAAGCCTGTCAGAATTTCCTGCAGCCTGGCCAAATGTTTGGAACTCAGGACAGACAGTCTCAGCTCAGGCTGGACTCAGGGGGGTTCCAAAGGAAGCCTTGGCCTCAGGGTCACTGGCAAGCAGCTGGTTTGGTGAGGCAGAGCTTTCCGAGCTGTGTTGGGAACTCACAGTGACAGCTTCCATGGAATTCTGTTCTAGCTCACAGTCCACATCTTCTACCCTTTGTACTTCTCCTCTTAAAAACTCTCCTCTCCTTCCACTGTTCACCACACAGCTCCAAGCCCCTCCTTGCTGGTGTCAGAGCACCTCCTGGGTTTGCCTGTTACCTGGGTCTGTGCTGGGAGAACTGGGCTTTTTCCCTTCTCCCTCAGCAGCCTCAAGGATTCTCCCCTGCTCCTCCTCCTCAAACTGTGCTCGCAGGAGCTTCTTAGCCTCACGGAAATTCCTTTCTGCCTGAATATAATTATTCTGTGTCTCATAAAACAGACCTGTGGGAGACACAGAGCAGCATCAGCAGACACCCGAAGGAAGCAAAATCCTTCCCTTAGCCCTCAGCTTGAAGCAGGGAGAAGAGAATTGGAGCAGGAATACCTTGAGCACCAGACTGGCTTGGTTTTGTACCTGAGAGAGTCCAGGCTATGATGCTGGATGGCTCCAAGCAGCAGGCATCCTCAAAGAAAATCTCTGCCTCTTTGTAGTGCTGCAGCTTGACAGCTGCAATCCCACAGAGCAGCAAGCTGGGACAGAGCAGAGCAGTCAGCCTTGCAGCCCCAGCAGTGGTGTGGGGGATACACTCCACACCCTCCCCACCCACCCACCAGGAGCACTCAGGACCTTTGGATGTTCTGGGGGTCCAGGGAAACGGCCTGCTGGAAGCATTCCTGGGCTTTGGTGGCGTCCTCGTACAGGAGGCAGAAGGCTCCATAGTCTACCCAGGACTGGATGCTGCGCTGGTCCCGAGCTATTCTCTGGACAACAGAGATCATCACTGGAGTCAGGCTCAGCACATGCCATGGACTGGGAAGGGGATTCTGGAACGAGCACGGCTTCCCTGGCCACCCCAGCCCAGCTGAGCAGGAATCAAGCCTTTGTCTATCACATGCAATGGTGTCCCCTCAATGGGATCATGCTGGAAGCCCACTTCCTTTAAGTCTTCTCCACCTAACACGTGTCCTCCAGCTCCAGCTGATGCCTCCTCGGGCCCAGTGTCCTCAGAACTGCCCCAGCACATCTCATTTCCCCTGGCCTTGAGGCTGGAGTCCCCGGTGACCTGGCCAGTGATAGTCTCACATCCTGCAGAGAGCAGCATCTCCCTGGGAAACGCCTCCCATTGAGCTTGAGTATCCTGGTGACGCTCAGCTCCTTCCTCCCTCCACCACAGTCGGGGCTGGCTGAGCTGTGAGCAGTGGCCCCACTGTGATGCTGTGCTGTGCCAGTCCACACAGGTGATGGCAGGAAAGAACTGGGGCTCCCTTACCTGCTTGTAGAAGAGAGAGGCCAGTTTTAAGTCCTTGTTGGCTTCAGCTTCTCGAGCAAAGAGCCAGAGCTGCTCCATGGTCGCGCAGGATGGAGGGGCAGGAGAAACATCTTCCCCAGACAGGAACTGGCAGGGAAGGAGACAGTGTTAGCTCTGGGGAAGAGTAGTTCGTGTGATCCCAGTATGGCAGCAGGTCCCACACCAGCACTGCACACGGTACAGACCAGCATGGCTGGGGCTGAGCACTGGGAAGGGCAAGCTGCTCTGTGGTGGGACACATTCCCATCATTCCCAGATACCTCTGCCACACAGGCACAGGGCAATATCAATTTTTACAAGGACATGGAGTGACAGGACACAGGGAATGGCTTCCCAGTGCCAGAGGGCAGGGTTAGATAGATGGGATATTGGAAAGGAATTGTTCCCTGGGAGGGTGGGCAGGCCCTGGCACAGGGTGCCCAGAGAAGCTGTGGCTGCCCCTGGATCCCTGGCAGTGTCCAAGGCCAGGCTGGACAGGGCTGGGAGCAGCCTGGGACAGTGGGAGGTGTCCCTGCCCACGGCAGGGGTGGAATGAGATGAGCTTTAAGGTCCCTTCAACCCAAACCTGTCTGTGATTCTATGATTATGCACAGCATTCCCTAGATCAAGGTGATGACAGACTTCAGTGGGGTGAAGTGACCCCAGCTCCTGCTTTGCCCAGCCACCCTTACCACGTGCCAGCTACAGAAGCTTTACCAGTGGCATCTCACAGCTACCCCACTGTCAGGATTTTGAGCAGTGGGATACAAAGGCACTGGATCCCTGCCTCGAGTGTGGCTCATGGTCCACATGTGACAAATCCAGCAGATGAAAGCATGGGCTTGCTTTTGTCTAGAAGGCAGAAGACCTTCACCTGCCTTGGACCCACAGTGAGGCCATGGCCCAAGTCACTCAGATTTCTCCCTACCTTGTTCAGGGCAATGTGCATGTGGTCCACGAGGTACACATAGAGCTCACTGAGGAATGCCTGGAGCTGCTCCTTGGTCTCAAATGCTGTGGTCTTCAGGTATTTCTCCCTCACAATCTTCACCACAGAATACTGTGGAGGCAAGGTACATTGGACAAGGCAGGTTCCCTCCCGTGCCCCCCATCAGCTCTGTAATCAGACAGAGTCTGAAGCTCCAGCTTAGTTCTGAGAAATAAATCCAGCCCACCACTGATAAAAGCAAAAAAAAACAAGCAAGGGGGATTTCCTTTCCCACCTCCCTGACACAGCCTTTAGGGACAGCATGTGGATGGCTCATCTCAGGACAGAGAGATGGTGTCTAGGAAAAGTGTGGCTGAGGCTGAGCAGCTGAGAGAGTGGAACCTCCTGTCCCTGCTGGGGCTGACTGGGAATGTGAGAGCAGCCAGCTTTGCCTTTCTCAGGTTATGAGCATGGGGCAAATGGATGTGAGTAGCTCCCATTGATAGGAAGTGTTCTCTTGGTGTGGGACCAAAGCAGCTTGGTGCATGCTCTGTTAGAGAGAAATCCTGTCCCCTCAGTGCCCACTGCAACAGCTCCAGGTGGCACGAAAGGATTCCAGAGCACCACATCATCCTGAGTTACTACCATGGAGCAGCAGCTCCTCACTGAGAAACTGTCAGGACAAAACAAGTAGGGAAGCAAAAAACACAAAGGAATCTTCACCTTAAGCTGTTCTTTAAAAGCAAAATATTTCCCAGAGGTGTTGAGTTCGTAGTTGAGCTGACGCTTTTGTTCCTCCAGGGTTTCATGGTCCATGGCCTGCTGCTTCCCAAAAAGCTTGTGGTATTCCCTCAGGATGTTAACAGCAACACTGGTGACACGTTTGTGATAATCTTCCACCACCTAGGCAAGAAATAAATAAATTTCACAAGCCACTTATGCAATCAACCTTGATATGTATTTGATTTGCCACAGCCCACGCCTCCCATTAACTCCACCTGACTCAAGTCTCAATTAGTCTGTCACACATCCTTTCCTGTCCACGCCTGAGGGCTGAAAAAATATCTGCAGGTAAACACAAAAGAGCTCCTTCCTGCTAGGATTTTCCATCACAACCCAGCATTCCAGTCACTGCTATCTCTCCTATAGCAATATAACTGGCTGTGAGTAAAATATATCTCATTTACTGGGGAGTGTTGAAACCCATGGCCAGCCCTCTTGAGCAGAATCTATAATCTCCATAATCTTGATCCTCAAAAATTCTTGGTGACCTGAGAAAGGTAGGGCTGATTCTGTTCAGGTTTGTCTGAGCCTGAGGAAGCACAGGGGCTGATCTGAGACAAGAAACTGTTGGGACTGCCCAGAATATAAATGTAAGGTTCTGGTAGCCTCTTTTTTCCCAGCATCCCATTTCCTTCCAAACATCCCTGCAAGGCTGGATGCAAGACTTCCCTCCCTTTGCTCCAGCTCTTCACCACTTCCCTCTGAATGGGATGTGAACACGAGTGATGTTTTGTCTAGAATGGGTTCCCAAAGCACATTGCTGTGGAGATAATACATACAGAAGAATACACTTTTCTGTGTATTTCATAGAATATGTTGAATTGGAAGGGATCCACAAGGATTGAGTCCAACTCCTGGCCCTGCACAGACACCCCAACAATCCCACCCTGTGCATCCTTGGCAGTGCTGTCCAAACACTCCTGGAGCTCTGGCAGCCTCGGGGAGCCTGGGCAGTGCCCAGCCACACCACTCTTTTCCTAATATCCACTAAAACCTTCCTGACACAGCTCCAGCTGTTCCCTCGGGTACTGTCACTGGTCACAGACAGCAGAGATTGAAGCTGCTCCTTGTGAGGAAGCTGCAGATCCCAACGAGCTCTACTCTCAGTCTCTCTTCTTCAGGCTAAACATTCCAAATGACCTCACCACTCCTTGCCCTATTCCCTTCTAGACCCTTCACTATCTCTGTGGCCCTGCAACCTTATCCTCTTCAAACCTCATCCCCATGTTGCTGTGGGCTGAGAATGAAGGCTGTTGTGTAGAGGGATGAGGGCAGGGTGGGCTGGCAGGATGATGGCAAGGCCACAGGCTCTCACACGTACCTTCCTGGCTCCTTCTGTCCGGGGTTGCAGCGCAGGGCGGGGAGGAATCAGCTCCTTGACCCTGTCAGTGAGAGCAGAGGAGAGATCAGCAGATCCACTGCCAGGGATCTTGGCTTGTGTGGTGTGAGGGCTCCACCCTGCCATCGTGTCAGTGAGACACTTCACAGGCACCTGGGGAAAGCTGAAATCTCAGACCGAGAGTGAGCAGATCCCTACAACTGATGATTGTAGCTTTGTCATGACAGGGTTAACATTTATTGCTAAGCCAAACTGCTCTCCTGGAGCAGCAGAGCTGTATCTTGGAGCTCCTGGCTCTGCAGAACAGGTGAAAGGAAGGAAGCAGCCTGAGGAAAGCTCTGTAGAATTGGGTCACTAAACAGCCCAGACCATTCAAATCATCAGTTCCAATGTCACTCGGTTTGGCTGTGGCACCCACAGACACCAACCCCAGACCCCCAGACACCACACAGCCCTGCCTGGGCCTCTGTTGGAGCTACAATGAACTTTCATTAGTATTAGCATATTTTTAATTAAGATTTTATTAAGGTGAGGGTGGCTGAGGACTGGAGCAGGATTCTCTGTGGAGTCTCCTTCCCTGGATATATTCAAAAACCATCTGGACACAGAGTAAGGTGCTCTGGGGAACCCTGCTTGAACATGAACCTTGGTCTAAGTGACCTTCAGGGGTCCCTTGCAAACGGAATCATTTTGGGATTCTGGAATTAAGATCTGTGGTGCCAAACCAGCCTTAATTAATTAATTTTTTTCAGCATTTCCTGCTTGCTGGATACCAGAACACCCTCAGTCCTCAGAACACAATCCATCCCACCAAGCCAAGGTACCACAGGCCTCGTTCAGGTGCACACAAGCAGGTGAACAAGGAGGAGTTCCACTGAATCCACACACATTGCAGAAGAGTAGAAATTATAAAATAGGCCAGGAAAAGGTCTGTTCTAAGATGGGTACATTTTCCTCAGCTTGTTCCTCCTGGAAGACAGCAGGGAGCAGTGAGGACAACACACATACCTTCAATGAATGCATGATATTTCTGTTTGAGAGAGACACAAACCTGCACCTCTTACGCCTTATTAATCTGCTGCATTTTCTATTTTGTTATTCTATAAATTAGATGTTTTATGCCTTTCTAACCCATGACACAGCAGGGCTGCCACTGGACAGGAACTGGAAGTCTCAAAGCAGCAGAGATGAAAGAGCAGCTCTGCAGCAGACCGACATGAAAAGTTACATAAAAGCTGAGGAATGGGTAAAACATTGTGAGAAAACTTCTGGAAAGCTAAAAATGAGAGAATGCTCTGGTGAAGCAACAGCAGCACTACCCAGGGCAGTCCATGCTGGTGGCCAAGACTGACCAAGCCACTGAACATCACATGCAAGAGGCAAGCACATGGGGATTAGAGGGAAACAAAGCCCTGACAGGAACACAGACACTGCTGTACTGCTCTGGTGTCTCTTGTTTTGAGAGGAATGGCAGGGAGATGCCAGCTGGGATGAACAAGTGTTTTCCCAACACACCAGATGCCACATCTAAAGCAGTCTGGCCAAATCCTCCCCCTGATTCCTGTGGGCTTTGTCTCAGGCCCTCTTTTTGGTTGTACTCCAAGGGGGGTTTGCTGTACCAGCCTCTCTCCAGCCTGCAGAGAGGAGCTGTCAGCCCCACAGCCCGTCCTTACGCACCGCCGGATGAGCTCCTCCCGCAGCCGCTTTGGGACCAAGGGCCTGTCCAGCTTTATCTCCATCACCAGGAATGTTCCTGCCTCGCTGTACTGCTGTGGAGATAAACATTTCTCCCTGTGTCGTGCTGTCTGCAGCCACTGCTGGCACAGTGAAATACTGAGCACACAGCCAAAGAGATCCAGCTTGTTTTATAACCCGCCCTCAGAATGAGTTACAGCAGCAAAATCCAGCTCAAGAACCCAGGCTAGGGAAAAGGAGAGAGCCCAGATAATCAATCTGCCTGCAGAATGAATGTGCATTCCAGAGGAAGAAGCCAAAATATGAAGAGATAATTTAAATAAATGCCTGACAATTTACAGAGACCTCCTAGCCCAGTGCCAGTCTGCTCTCCAGGTGGATGTCACTGGAAGAACTCTGGGACAGCATCTACGTAAAACATCCCTTGTCCAACTCACTCTTGAGGAATTTAATTTTGTGAAAGGTGTGAGACACCAGCACAGTGATGCTCTACAGCCTCTCCTTCTCTTTGGAGAGACATAACTACTTGGCCTTCAAGGCTGAGATTTGTGACATTTTCAGATTCTCCATCTGACAACTGGATTTTGGATGGGTTGAGTAACTATTAGGAAAAGGAAAAGATGTCTCTTGTTTCAGACTCAATAAATCTCGAATCTTTTTGCAAGTTTAGGGTGTGATATGGTAAATTTTTTCAAGCAGCAAGTCCTAAGATTTCAGATAAGGGAAAGCTGTAGCTTCCTTACAAGGAGCAGCTCCAAACTCTGCTGTCTGTCACCAGTGACACGACCTGAGGGAATGGCTGGAGCTGGGTGGGTTAGGCTGGATGTCAGGGAAAGATTCTTCCCCCAGAGGGTGGTTGGGCACTGTCACGACCCCAAGGCTACCAGAGCTCCAGGAGTGTTTGAACAACACTGTCAGGCACAGGGTGGGATTGTTGGGATGTCTGTGCAGGGCCAGGAGTTGGACTCATGATCCTTGCAGATCCCTTCATGTTGAGGAGATTCTATGACTCTAGGATAATGAGTATCTCTCAGTTGGCTGAGGCAACACAGCATCCATCCCTGGCTCCTGCATGTCCTAACTTCTGTGACACAGAAACAGAACACCCATGGTGGCATGAGCCTCCTTAGACCTTACCATTACACTGCACTCTTTTTCCTCCTTCTGAGCCTTATTGGGAGCAGCTTTGGAAACAGGAGAGTTCCCCAGCCCTTCCTTGACCAGACTGAGCTGTGACCTGAGATCCCGGAAAATACTGTGCTGGATTTTAGTCTGAAAAATAGAGGGAATAGAGAGAATCAAAGGACAAAGCAGGCTTCCTCACTCCTTTGCCTTAACCTCTCTCATCACAAAACACACTGTCAGGGTCTTAAATGCATTAAGAAGTTTTGTAACCTCATTCTCTCCTCCTAGAATTCAGCTGCTGGTGCTCCAGACCAGTTCTGATCCTGTGGAGCTGTGAAGCCTCAGGTTAGACTATGAGGCTCAGTGAGGGTCTTTCCATCTTCCCTCAAAGAGCTGTGTTTTCACTGAGGACTGGCCCTTGATCCTTGTCTGAGATATGTGGTGAACATGCTGGAACCCAGATCCGTGATCCTGAATTCCTGGTGGGATCCTAGATGTGCCTCACAGCTATGGACTTGCCTGGTGATGCGGGCTGCTGGATGAATCTGGCTACTCTCACCAGGCCTGCTCCACACATTTTTGGGTGTCCCCACCTGCCTGACATGCTCCTGGCTTCCAGCTCATTTTCTGCTGACACATGGCAGGGAATTGCAAGGAACAGGTTTGTCAGACTGTGTGTTTACACAGTGTTTGACCACCTAGACAGGCTGTTCCCTCCTACACATCCTGGTTACAGGAATTGGGCTAGCAAGAGTTATGGGGATCCTGGGGAGAGGATGGAGCAGCTCCTTAGACCAAGAGGCAACCCAAATCATCTGGGGAATGAGAAGGACTTCACTTGTGACAGATAAATGGCACAGGACAAGCAGCACCATGCAGCCAAGGGGTCATTATTCATGGCAGAGAAGCAGAGCCCAGCAGACACACTCATGCCCAGCCCAGCTCTGCAACAAGCAGTGGGAACAGGGAGCAGGAGAAGGGCTGGAATTCACCTAGCCCTGCACTGGACCACAGCCCCACAGGGGACACGGGTAGTAAAACCAGACTGTACATCTGCCCTCCTGAAACAAGCCCAGGTCTGTTCCAGGAGGCACAGACTGTGGGAAAATGGAGATGTAATTGTCACTCTTAGTAACAGAGAGGGAAAAACGCAAAGACAAATAAACCTCGGTGAGTTAGAGCTGAAAGAGCTCCAGTGACAGCTTTTTTGGTGGTTGCCGGGGGTAACGCGATCCTTTTAAAGCCACTGTTTGCTCTTCCCAGCAACACAGTTCCCTTGCCCATGTTCCAGACTGGGGAGAGTGGAGTGGAGTGAGATTCAAAGCCTCTGTCAGCCCCCAGAACTGCCCACTCCCCCCACCAAATCCCCTGCCTTGGAGAAATCTGCACCTAAAAGCTTATATCATTACTTTTCTCCATCACCAGAAGGGCACTCAAGGTTCAGATACAGCTACAACCAGCACACTGTCCACACTGCCTGCTCCCAAACACCCACTG